ATAAAATGTTTTAGAACAATTTATCATGAGCTGTAGTAAATTCAGGTGGTTCTATTCTATGATGTAGATTTCTGTCTACTAACGGTTCGCCTATGTAAAAACTATAACTAAACTTAAATGCTTTTAAACCTCATGTTCTTACTATGTTCCTTCCATGCACGCGCTCTGTGTCGTCAGCAAACGTAAATGCATGATTGCTGCAATCTAAATATAATAACTCAAAGGTGACTGACTGACTGACAAAGTGATCTATCAACGCACAGCCCAAACCACTGGACGGATCGGGCTGAAATTTGGCATGCAGGTAGATGTTATGACGTAGGCATCCGCCAAGAAAGGATTTTACGAAACTCCATCCCTAAGGGGGTAAAACGGGATCCACGCGTACGAAGTCGCGGGCGGCCGCTAGTATTACTATACGTTCTTTCTAAGATCAGTTTTCATTAAAATAACAAGCAGAGGCATATGCCTCCGCTTGCGTACTTATATTTTGTTTTAACGCAAAATCACTTAAGTTAACTGTGTTTAAGTAATGGCTTCTATTCACCAAGATTGCGCAATTCTCGGAAATAATTAATCGTCAAAGATGTTTATTTATTATGCTAAATATAAAACACGTGCAAGTTTATCAAAGCCTTCATCAAGCTCAAAACAAATAGTATTAATATTACAATACCTACCGGAGAAAAATCTAGAAATACCTTTATTAAATTCCATAGTTCAATTCAGAACATAATTTCAGAGAAAAATTTCTGCTTGTCCTATTCACCGCTCGATATTTGAGACTATTAATTAAAATATTTTTCCCCAAAATAATTAGGTCTCAATTTTTTTGGAATTTTCAAAGAGGCTTTTCATGAGCCTCTAGAGTAGTGAATGTAGTTTTTCTAATTACAAATATAAGGGCACCCAGCGCACATAGAGCTTCCCTAATGAGCTAAGTGTTGCCGCTAGCTCTCGAGACGCTAGCTCAGGGCAGTTACGTGAGCTACACTTATTTATAGCTATTCGTTTTCAGCTGACTATTTTTACTGGTGGTATTTGGTGTACCAATTATCTGGATCTGCCTTCTTCTACGCGCTATTTTTGCGATAAATATAGCCTTTGTCCCTTTAATCCACTGGTTCCCAAAATAGGAATGTGCAAAGACCTTTAGAAGGGGGCGCGGGCCATATGTGTACTTAAGTATAAAAACCTGCGACCGCTGAGAGAATGCATTCCAGACTGCTCGGTACGACCAATAAATAATCTTGCCTGAGGGAGGGTGGCCGCGCAATTTTTTGTATGGTCGAAAGGGGGCGCGTTTCAAATAAGTTTGGGAAGTCTCTATACCTAAATAAATTAAAATTATCGAAACCAAACTAACAAAATTATATAAGAAAACAGCCACAGAAAAAATATTACTCGTATTCACTTTCACGCTTAATAAAAACATTTTCAGTGCCATCGACACGAAAAAAAGAAGAAGTGCCATGACAGAACCATTTTAACGTTTCTATTCTACAATCCTTAGAGAAAACCGAAAGTTCCTTAGAATAAGTCGCTGAACACTCGAGGGCTGTCTCGGCTCGTGAATACCTCATTACGGTCCCAAGGTTGTAATGATTTTCTGTTTTACAGGCATATGTAGTTAATTTGACCTTTTCGGAGATCAAAGCAGGATACACCGGCTCGCTACAAAGCGGAGCCAATTAATGTGTCAAAGCTAGGCGAAGGCCCCCATCATTGACGTTTGAAATCAAGTCAACAGCGTGTAGGTTGTTTGCCCAGGCAATACAGCCGCTATAGATTTTATGTAGCACTATTGTTTGGACGTTACGAATTGTACAACTAATTTCAAAGTGAGTATCATTGAAAGAGATATCGTAATTTGGGTAACTATGAAATGATTAGGTATTTTCGGAGCAGTTTTGTAGTAAGTGATTTATAAAGTATTTTTAATATTTTATGCTGATTCTTCAATCTTTAAACTTTTTGTGATGCTACTAAGTATTTTTTCCTACGTGATTAATGTGATTTACTTAACACTTACAAACTACGACTTGAATCTTTTCAAGTTTATATCTTTACTAGCTTTCCGCCCGCGGCTTCGCGCGCGTGGATTAGGTACATTATTTACATATTTTTCGGAACCCTATTTTATTACCAAATTAAATTTAGCCTATGTTACTCGTGGATAATGTAGCTTTCGAGTGGTGAAAGAATTTTTAAAAACGGTCCAGTAGTTTTTGAGCCTATTCATTACAATCAAAGAAACAAACAAACAAAGTAATCAGGAGATACATACTTTATGACTTGATCGTCTTACAGTGCGCTGGGAAGACACATAATATTATGTAGTGCCTCCGCAACCCGATTGGCCCAGCGCGGAGAGTGTAGTAGCAGCCCAAATCCTCCATTTGCGTCAGGTAAATTGGAGAGGGCCGTGTTCAGCGTTGCCAGTTTTTTTTTTTCGCCAAGTCGGGACTTTGGTACTTTTTGAGTGAAAATAGCGGGATTCTTCCGTCAGAAGCGGGACATAGTAAAAAAACGTATATAATCAAAGGTTTTCAAATATTTATTCTTTTATTTGACTTAAAATTACGTTTACGTGACAATAGATAGCAAAAGTATCCATTGAAAATGTATTTTAACAAAAAAAATATATTTTAAATCAGATTTACTCTATCGTTAAATTCGTCTTTAGGATGAAAAAAGAAAAAAAATCGAAATAAAAAAAATATTCTTTAGAATAATATGGCGTTCCAAACAATAATCTGGTGAAGTGAGTGTCTCTCTCCGAAAAGCGGGACAGAGCCTGTCCCGCGCGGGACAATTAAATTTGATTTAAAAATCGGGACGTCCCGCCAAAATCGGGACGTCTGGCAACCCTGGCCGTGTTCCTGCTGTGGAGACTAAATGACCTGATGATGATGATAGTGTTTATTCCATAATATGAATAAGTAATAATAGATTCCGTCTTTGACAGCAGCTACAGATAGTAAATGGGGTCGACTATGAAAATGCAAAAAGCTACTCCTTTCACGTTCTAAATGCTTAGTTTCCAGCTCCATCACTGTCGTTTAATATCGTTTAATGAATAGCGAACATTACCTTTTGTGTCGTTCGGCTTTGTGTGGCCTAATGAGTAGTACGAGAGCCCACGACCAAAACCATGTGTCATAGCAATACGGCAAAAACCCTATAAAATCGTTAGATTGTATGATTCTGAACCCGACTAGGTGTGTACCTAGTAACGGTCGAAAGTGTAGCAACTGCGTGGGAGGCCATTTCTGCTGTGTCAAAAAAAAAAGACAGTCGGTATTATAGCAATACGTCTGATAGTGAAAATGTACATAGATTTTATAATTGTATTACGAAAAAGTTAGTTTTCAGACATTTTGCGCGTAGCATATAGCCTGTGCGCATTTTTGAAAATGTCAACAAATTCGGCCGACCTGTATCATAGCAATACGGANGACTAGCAAAGTAGATTAGGTACAAGTGTGCGTTACGATAATTGGAATTACAAAACTTGTACTCAAAATCGTGATAACGTCTAAAACAATATCGATTGTCTATGTTATTAAGTACTGTACCTTATCGTTTCCTAATTTGTTAAGAATGTATCGTATAATATTTTGCCATAGTTTTTTTACAGGCTTGAAATTTATTGAAATCCAATTTAGTAACCCTGTGGTACAAATTATCGAACCGGTTGGCTAAATTGGACCGAAGCTCTGAACTCGTACTTTGTTGATTTTGTGCTAAATATACAACAATCATGTTAATTAATACTTATGAAATAGTAAGTTGAATAATGTACCTTTTATCATATACCATGGACATTAGCAAAAACAAAAGAAAACTATGTGTAAAATGGGATTGAAAAAAACTGGTCCAAATTAGCGGACTCTCCCTTATTTATCTTAACAACTTTTCCTCTTTAACGTTGATTTGATAATTAATTAAAGTTGTAGGATTCCTTATCTGCGGGATTTCGCCATAAATACTTTTGAGCGAGGATTATGTGAAACAAAAAAGTAGTCAGTAATAGCACAGAATAATAATAAGTACTACGTAATAGTAATTGATTCAATAGAATAGATCAGGTTCATTCAAAACCATTGAGCTGTTTTACACTTGGTTTCTAATTTCGAAAAAAAAAAAACAACAAACAAACAGTTTAGTGTCCGACCGAAACTAGTTTTACGACCGAAACCGAAACCGAAAACGAATTTCGGCAACGGTGTCTATTTCGGCCGAAACCGAAACCGAAACCGAAACTTCCTTACAAGGCTCATACACTCAGCGGCACGGAATTTGGCCCAAGCCAAATGCCCTAAGCAGATATGAATGAGGCCAAATAGGTGTTGTATACCTAAGTTTCGTGTGACATGTTAACAGAACATTTGTTTTTGTTAATTTAAGAGGCTAGATTAATAAAAAAAATGCGTCTGNAGTTAAATATCGGTATCTTTGTGGCCAATGAGCTGTTGTCATAGTGTGACATTGACAATACGTCAATGTCACACTAGGATCAAACGTTAGAATAGAGGGACGCTCGGAGACGACTCCGCGCGCTTTTATGCTAAGTGATGAATTGTATCTAAAACTAGCTGACCCGGCGAACTTCGTACCGCCTTAGCGTAGAGATTTTCTTAATATTTTTTTCCGTAAGAACCATCCTTGGACTTCCACAAACATTAAAAAAAAAGAATTATCGAAATCGGTTCAGCCGTTCACACGTGATGCCGTGACAACGCGAAACGGGTTTCATTTTTATATATATAGATAAGGCAATATAATGTGAAAGTTGAGTGTCCAGTGTTTTATTTATGAGAATAGATCTACCGGCCTCTAATAGTATTAAATAGTCTGAAGTTACTCACTCTGGGCTCTGTATGACGAGGGCCTACAGGTCCTGCAGGTGCCAGGTACTAACCAAAGAAATGTGCTACTACTCCGATGCTACTCTTGCTATGTAGTTAACTGAAGTTAGTAAATAATCTGAGGTTAACTTACTCCGGGCTCTGTATGACGACAGCTTCCAGGTCTTGCAGGTATGTGTGCAACGCGGTGATGACGAGAGACGCGAGGAAGGTTAGCGTCAGCGCCGCTGTGCGCGCGCGTTTGCTCTGCGCCGCGATGCACAGGAGCAGACCGAAGCAGAACAACTGCGTGTCTGCTGCTAGGTACCTTTAAAAACCATAGTGTTTAAATTATTCCATGAGAACAAGGAATCGTTGCTATAAGAACTATATAATACAAAAAAGCATGGAAATATACAAAATCTATGCCAACTAATTAAATAGGTAGAATCAGTTCGCCGAAGATGTCGACGAATTTAAATTTAGGATGGAATGAAAATTAAATATGCGAACATCTCCTTCCGTGTAGCCACGGTGAGGAGTAAAGAAGGGCGAATCCTCCATTTGCTTCTAGAGGTAGTTAGGTAATTAGAGAAGGCGCTGTTCTTGCAGTTGAGATAAAATGACCAGTTAAAGACATAGATTTAAGGATATCTACTTACTTTAATGAAGTAATCGAGACTAAATTAATGAAAACACATGCTTAGTGTTTCTGTGAACTGTGAGCACTGAGAGCTTTAACGGAACACACCTAACCTCTGTGGTCTAGTGGTAAGACCACCTGCTTCAGACGCAGAGATCCCGGGGTCGATTCCCAGTGGGGGCAGATTTTTCTGTTCGGGTTGATGGTAAGTAAGGCTTGTTCTAAGTCTGCCTGGCTAGCTACCACCATCTTATCTAAGTCTGTCGTCATAACAATGTTAACAGCATTGTTGTGTTCCGGCAGTTAGAGGTAAGATCGCCAGTTCCTCCGTGGTTGACGATTCCGGGTGAAGCTCGCTTCCATCTTCGGCCAAGAGCTTCCTCGTTGTGGATAAAAAAACACCTTAAACGATGGATGGCCTAATGATGATGATGGGCTACAACTCACCACGTCTGCGGCGCGCACAGGGCGTCGTCGTACACGTAGTTGTTGACGTACAGCAGATGCGCCCACCAGTAGCGGCGGCAGGCGGCGGCCTCGCTGCCCACCACCAGCTCCCGGTGAAACGCAATTGCATCTAAGTTTCTGCCATAGATTCCGTTGAGAGACCACACATGACGCGACCAGTTTGAAACCGGTTTGAAATGGTCGTGTTATGTGTGGTCTCTGGGCCTAAGTCTGTCGCCATAACAACAATGTTAACAGCATTGTTGTGTTCCGGCAGTTAGAGGTAAGATCGCCAGTTCCTCCGTGGTTGAGGATTCCGGGTGAAGCTCGCTTCCATTTTCGGCCAAGAGCTTCCTCGTTGTGAATAAAAAAACACCTTAAACGATGGATGAGCTAATGATGATGATGGCAACAACTCACCACGTCTGCGGCGCGCACAGAGCGTCGTCGTACACGTAGTTGTTGACGTACAGCAGGTGCGCCCACCAGTAGCGGCGGCAGGCGGCGGCCTCGCTGCCCACCACCAGCTCCCACAGCGGGCCGCTGCCCAGGTGCCGCATCCACGTGGATATCGTGGCCAGGACTAGCGCGTACGTGGGGGTGAGTCTGAAAGGATGAAATGTGGTGGAAAAATAGTTGATTTTACTAGTAGGGGAGAGTTCGGTATATTGTACCGCCGGGTAAATTGTACCACCCTCATATTTCGTAAAGTATTTATTGAATGTCTGTAATTGCAACATTCAGCGATACACAACTAAAATCAATTAATATCGGCCATGTGGTTTTTGCCGTGACAACAAACACGTGTGTTTTATTTTTAAAAGAATTTTTTCATTGTTTTCAAGTAACTTTTGACAATCCATGTTTAGTTTGTAATTTTGTTAAATTTAATCACAAGGTGTTTCTAATATATTATTTAGAAGCGTAAATTAGTGTGGATTGCAATTATTTGAAACATTTTTCGGTATTTATAAGCTATATTTTTTACCGATTTTTTAAAAGCACTATCACCTAGTCGGCTAAATTGTACCACATCANATAATTTGAGAATAATGTCCATTACTTCAGCTCAAGTTGCTCAAATAGTGTTGCTTAGAAGTCAAGGGTGTATGCAGCAGGAGATGGCTGAAACTTTCAATTTATAGCGTACAAACTTAAGATACACTTTAAAAAGGCATGACCAGACCGCCTTTTACACAAAAAGACCAAGAAGTGGGGAATTAAGGAGTAAATCAGCGCGCGATGACCCGATAATCGTGCTTGCAATATCAAGAAATCGGGTTCTCACTACGTTTGAGATACGCCAGCGTTTACAAACAGCAAGCACAGTGAATGTTAGTGAGCACACAATAAGAAGAAGGATGGAGGATCATAACCTGCATACTCGAAGACCAGCTCGAGGACCAGATCTTCTCCGATACCTCCGCGAAGTGCGACTTACGTTTTCTAGAGAACATAAGCTAGCAGAACCAAAAAATATTTATAGGTTAAACTTAATTAAACTTTTATTAGTCATATTGAATTTTTTTTTATATTTACTACCCGCTCTTATAACGACATAAAACGAGATAAAACTTACCAAATTCAAAATAAATCCCTCGAAAACTCGCCACCACAACAAAACTAACAGCAAACAAACAAGCGAGCGAATCACGACATTGGCTCTGATCGGATTCATTCACTCAATGAACGCGCCGAACATGACCGATAACAGCGCGGAAACTCCCGAATGCACATTCGGTTTCGGTCGTAGTTTCGGCAACTTTGCCGCCGAAAACGAAACTAAACCGAAACTCGTGTTTTCACCGAAACTCAACCGAAAACGAAACCGAAACCGAACATTCGGTCGGACACTAAAACAGTTACGTTCGTCTCGGTTTTTAACAATCTTGCTTCAAATTGAAAATCCGAATCGACACCCTGTGAACTTGAAAACTCGAAGTAATGAATACACATCGTTTTGCTTACTAGTTACGCAACAATAGGCGAATGCTGTACAAATCCTGTAGATAGTGAGACTTAATAGTAGATGCCATTGTCAACATTAGTTCGTGAAGAGTTTAGCAAACCAGGGGCTTGCTTTTCCCAACAGCTTTCCGCTCGCGGCTTCGCCCGCGTGGAATTTTGTCTGTCCCAGAAAAACTTTATCGCACGCGTCCCTGTTTCAAAAACCGGGATAAAAACTATCCTATGTCCTTTCCCGGGACTCAAACTATCTTTATGCTACATCAAAATCGGTTTAATGGTTTAGGAGTTCCAGCAGTAAGGCTGGTTTTAGTGTCACGCGGACTGTCAGTGCGGATCGCTCCGCACAGCCGATCTGTATGAACTGCTAGGGAGCGGAGCGGTTCCACTGGACCGCATTACTCTAAAACGCTCCCTAGAAGTTCATACAGATTGGCCGTGCCGTGCGGAGCGGGTCCGCACCGGACGGTCCGCGTGACACTAAAACCAGCCTAAGTAACGTACCTGAGCCACCTGGTGAGCACGCCCTTGGGCCAGTGATGCCAGCCGAGCTGGTGCTTCTCCGCATGCAGCTGCAGGTTGAAGGCCATGAGGAAGGAGGACATCACGAAGAACGTGTGCGTCACCAGGCTGCCGTTGAACAGGATCTGCTTCATCGGGTCTTCGTACGCCTGCAGGTCAGCCAAGTTTATTTTATTTCTTTACTTGTTTACAATAGGCAGGCACCTACCAACTTCGTCAAATTTTCGTTGAGAAATCATCAAAGAATTTCATGAAATAAAGTGAGTGATTAAATAATAATGAAATATCGGGTGTAGACTACATATAACTACATTTACAGGTGTTGCATTAATAAAAATTCAATTAACCTTTAAGCATCGTTCACAAGTTTTTTAAAATATGCAAATATTCGGCAGACAATACCAGATTTTTCCAACATCATTTTGTTTTCATTCATCAATGACCTAAAGCGAAATGAAGACTCTTTTCGGGAGATAAAAACAACGGGAAAATGGAATTTTAGAAGTGAACAGAAGAAATTCAACAGATTGTCTATAAAAGAATTGATGACTATAAACAAAACCTTAATATTATTGTAGTTAATATGAGCTTGATTTAAACCAATATTAGCTCTTTGTGAGAATCTAACCTGCTACAGTTATCAAAACTGTCTTTATCAAATACTAAGTGAAGCTATATCGATAAAATCGACAACTACGTATTAGTGATAAATAATACTGACCTTTTCAATGTATAGCGGATTATTTACGTAAGAAAACGCCATCATAAGCACCGTGTGAGAGAAAAATACGCAAAACATGGTCATCGTCCTGAAAAATATAACTGATGTAGCGTTTAAAATGTAATGTAACGTAACGTTAGCTACAATTAAAATTAATTAAAATTATATACCTCAATTTATAGAAAACGTTACCTCATTCCATGAAATAGTTTCAGTCTTTCGAGTCGGGGCTCCGATCCTTTCTTGGGGGAGGCAACCATTCTGTCCCAATTGCGAGATATTGAAAATGCTAATAAATATGGATTTCCTGAAAAAAGGTATAATATATTATAACCTCTAAAATAATATTTATAGAGATAGAATGGTAATTACTATATTAATGGTAATATTCTGTCGTCCAGTATTTATCAGGTATTGCAACCTGGCCGTCTTGAACTCTAATTACTATAAAATCTATCTACGTTATTGATTTATTGCCATGAATAATGGATCAAACTATCAAACACTAATAGTGTTGTATTTGTACGTTGTATCTTACTATAATCTCACCTGACTTCTCTCTGCCTTTGCAGAACATGATATCGTAACAGCTTCCGATCACGTTAAGTAATATCAGAATCACATACACCACAGCTACAATTACATCGTATGTGTCTATATCTATCGTGTCGCCGGCTCTTTTGCAGTATCGTATTTCTTTCAGCCTGACTTGGATTCTGTAGTCCTTCCATATAGTATGATTCAGGCATGCTTCAAGGACCCCACTTGGGTCCGCCGTGTCATTTAGATTTTGTATGAAGTCAGCGCATGTTCTGGTCACACAAACTCCTCTGTGGATTTGTGTGTGATTGAAATGCTTCATTTTGTGATCTGAATATTGCTGAAAATAGAAATAATTATATTGGAAATAGCTAATTATATTTTAACCATTTCTATTCTTGTTTAAACTTGGTCTACTTCATTCATGGGATGGACAGTCGGATACAAATGGCAATGCCAGATTTAGTATGGAAAGTGGCGTCTTTTTTTTTTCGCGCGGCCATCGACCAAACTTTGTTTTTTGATTACAAAATAGTGTAATAAACCAAACTTAATATTGCATGTATACCTCTAAACTCAGTCTGAACTGAGTTACGAGCATTAGAAGTTTGATGATTTTCATACTAGATTTGCTTTTTGTGCGCAAGTTTTGTAAGAAATTGCAACAAAATATTGCGCTATTTTTTTATTGCGCTGATTCTGCTCCATATTGATGTCTGGAGCCTTTAATGGATGGTATTGTTTGTTTACACATACAATCTCACTATTTTGTTGCAATTTCTTACAAAACTTTGCGCGCAAAAAGCAAATCTAGTATGAAAATCATCAAACTTCTAATGCTTGTAACTCAGTTCAGACTGAGTTTAGAGGTATACATGTCATAGTAAGTTTTGGTTTATTACACTATTTTGTAATCAAAAAAACAAAGTTTGGTCGATGGCCGCGCAAAAAAAAAAGACGCCAATTTCCGGCATTGTCTTTTAATGCTCTATTTAATAAAGATTTATGATGTACACTAATGTAATTTGAGAGTTTCTTAAATGTAACAAACGGTCATAGTTACTTAATGTTTATTAATATACATATAAGTTATTTGTCGCTAATCGTGTATCCTCTAATTTACTTATGGTTATTAGACCGTATGACTACTCAACGATCCTTGCAGCACCGTTCGCTCTTTAACCTCCATAATTTTCCTGCAGCGGACATAAAGAATAAACAAGCATTTAGCAATCTCACGGCGTATAACAAACAACCTTTTTGTTCTAATTAGATAAACGCATGCGGAAAAAACCCTTCATTACTACAATTTCGCTGAGTTCATGAACTAAATTGTAGTGCGAACAGATTAGCTGTAAGCAATTGACCCGTGTAGAGCGACAGGTCTCTCTAGTCCGAGTGTAGGTAGTCTATTAAATCACTAGTACCCACTGTACGTATAACTGATCAGCAAGGATCACCAGTTTTACACCTACACAAGCAAGGTACTTAAGATTATTATTCTTATATGGACCATTTTGGTTAAAAAACCCATATTAAAAACTTGGTCACTATGCTACAGGCTTAATCGTTCGTTTGTTTTAGCCAAAAGACGTCCACTGCATGACTGGACAACGACCGCTGCGCTGCCCGCATCCAAGCATTTCCCGCGACCTTCACCAGATCGTCGGTCTAGCTAGCATAACATGTATAACAGCTCAACTGCAATTAATCCGGTCAAGTAATGGGTGACCATTGAACGTAATAATTGATCTACTTGTGTTGTTCTACTTGTGTTATAATATGAGTAAATAGGCCGTATTGTATTGTTGAACGTTGAACTGGATATCCTTTCCACACCACTGCCATTCTTTTATATTTGTTGTATGTTTATTTATTTTATACATATATTTATTATGTTATTATGTTTGTATATTTATTTTATATGTAGTTTGGCCACTTTTAATTTGAAAATAACAGATACACTAGATTTTAGTCTATGTCAAGGAACTATTTCAGTGAACTGATAATCTCAACTAATATTTAACAGCTTTAAACAAAGCTCAATGCAGACTTGAGCCAGGTCTATGTTCTAATGAATTAATGGTAATTGAGTGATTTGGTTCCGCAAGATATCGTGAGACCTGAGCCTAAGCATCCCTCCGCTGTCCTTAGCCGTGATTCATGCAGAATAGTCCTCCGACGAGGCTACCCTGATTGACCTTATGCTTCGGTATTTTATATTAATTGCCACAAGGTAGCCAAATACGTCATTTTATTTCCATTAATCTGGTAATATCATCTGTGATGTAATATTTAGTATGCAAATAAGGATTGGAATTTACATAACATTCGTTAGTAAACTTGAAATCAAATTATTAGACGACCTCGACCTAAATTTTCTAACTGTATAGTTTGGCAAAAATCGATATAAACATTCCAAACGAGTTTAACTAGTATAAAGCGCTTTTGCAACCTTTACCTAATTACAATTATAGATGTATGACATGAAACTGATGCATGAAACATAATAATAAACATAATAAGATTCTTATACTTAATAAGAAAACAAGCTTATCGAGGTGACAGAGCGTTGAGCTTCCTGAGGCTACTGCATTTGATTTGACTTGCCCATAACCTGTTAATCACAGCAATTATGCAATTATGTCAGTCTAGGAACTCCGAGTGGTATTTCCACGGAAGGCCCATGGTAAACAGAACCTAGAAATGTGACGCACTAGATCACTTCTCTATGTACGGCGAAAACAAGTAGGTACTACAGGTTTTATTCTATTACTAAAACCTGACGGATTGTTAACAGCATGAACAAGTAAAATGCTTCTTGTCGCAGATGTAAACACGCAACTCAGAACTGTTGTTGTATTCATGTGACCTACACGTTTCAGGTAAATCCTACGAGTATGTAGGTATTTTTCAAATTTTCCCTCACAGCTATTTTCACAAGCATATTTTTTGTTGTAATTGTAGTTGTTGAAGTCTTTAGTGTGGGATTCCCATTGGCCATTTCTTCCGAAAAATCAGTTCGTGTATTCCCAATTTGGGTTGATATAACTATTTTTTTAAAAGTCTAAAGCAGTGTTTTTCAACCCATTCCATGACACGACCGTCATTTAGTATGAAAAATTATTTTGCGATCCCCCAACCACTCGCTTTTTTTCATGCATTTTATAATGTTACAAAGATGTTGTAGGAATTGAATATTTCAAACCACGCAACATTTATGAATTTGCATAATTAGATTTCAGATATATCTATCTTTATAACTGTACTGTTTTTTTAATGAGGTAGTTTTTACGACCTCTCGCGACCCTCTATAGGGGTATAGAGGCTTGGCGACCCCTCAGGGGGCCGTGACGCACAGGTTGAAAAGCACTGGTCTAAAGTAACAAATGCCTGTAAAATTACATACTTGTATCATATCCATGAGCGCGGAGTCCTCTTCGGTGAACAGCTCGAAGTCCGCCACGCAGTACGCGGCGGCTGGCTCTTGGAGGCACGCCGAGTACTCGTCCAGGTCGTACAGCCGAGGCATTTTGTAGTACTCCGTCTCTGGAAACAAATAGACAAGGCTTTTGTAAAGAATAGTCATGAATATCGTACAAGAGGCCTTTCATCATCATCATCATCTCAGCCATAAGACGTCCACTGCTGAACATAGGCCTCCCCCAATGCTTTCCATGTTGCCCGGTTGGTAGCGGCCTGCGTCCAGCGCCTTCCTGCTACCTTTATGATGTCGTCGGTCCACCTTGTGGGTGGACGTCCCACGCTGCGTTTTCCGGTATGCGACCTCCACTCCAGAACCTTGTTGCCCCATCGGCCGTCAGTCTGCGTACTATGTGCCCTACCTACAAGAGGCCTTTACATAATCATAAAAAATAAAGTTTTCAGGAAAGGGGTTTTGGGAAGGGCTTCCAAATAGAAGGAAAGTCTAGGATGCAGGCTAGATTTGCTTATAATTTATTAGCTATCCATTGATAGCCCATTTTAAGTGGGCAAAACAGTAAAAAGAAAAACACTAACACAATATATTCCTACAGCAGATTAAATTATAATTATTAAGTTCATTGTTTGAGTCAATACATCTAAAGCGAAAATAGTTTTTCTCTAATCGTATAAGTAAATAATATTCAGATACTGTTTACCTTCTTAAGTACAAAGTAACACTTAATAATAGGTATTGATTGTTTAACCACAGAGCAATAATAAGTTCTGTTTAACTAAGTATAACTTAACGGACATTTCCATTTAAGTGGAAATGAATACACCAAGGCGGAATGTGTATCGCACAAACACATTGCAGGATGTTTAGTCAATACAAACCATGTGATGTAGCCATTTTAACCGATCTAATATTTGAGTTTAAAATTAATTTTCCCTCACATTTATTTTCAAAAACACTATTTTGTTGTAATTGTAGCCCCGATGTCGTTGAAGTCTTTTGTATGGGAATTTTCAAATAGGCCATTTCTTCCGAAAAATCTGTTCGTGTTTGTTCCTAATTTGGTTAGGACATTGCAGGCTTGAATTTAAATGGCCGAATTTTGAATCTAGAAAGATAAGGAGACATGTAAAGTGCCCCATAAGGGCTACCTTTTCTTTTTTTATTATTTACTATATTTTAACGTTCATAAGTGCCACTTGTGGTCTGAATAAATATTTTTGATTTTGATTCTTGTTTTATGGTTTTAAAAATAGATTTGCAAACTTGAAATGAAAAATGCAGGAGAAGAGTCAGATGGTACCTAACGATTCAACCGCCCAATTGCGAAGTGTGCAATTGTACGTAGTGCACGCCGTTTGATTTCCGATTCAAACGGCGTTCACATTCAAACTTCATTGAGCTATTAAAAAGCCTGGGAGTGCAATGTAACAACAACATCTTGATTGTTATTTCCCGGACATTGCATCCAGAGCACAACAAAGCCTCGCTTTGAATGTCAATAACAGCAGTAACGTGCTTTTAAATTTAAATTTCACTAGAGATTTTCCTGTTGTCCAAAATAGTTTTTGCACAACCACACCACAATGGCGTGTCAACCTGCTCATAAGCGTCGTGGGTCGAATCACGAAAGAGCCTAACTGATTTTTATCAATTTTACAGGAGCGTGCGTTTAACGCAGCGGGACTTCCACCCACAAGGTGGTAGCAGGAAGGCGCTGGACGCAGGCCGCTACCAACCGGGTAACATGGAAAGCATTGGAGGAGGCCTATGTTCAGCAGTGGACGTCCTATGGTTGAGATGATGATGATTACAAGAGCGACATTTAAAGAAAATTTGAAGTATAGAAAAATGTATTTCGAGCACTTTTTACCTGTTAATACTGGTTGAAAAAGAATTGAGTTTCGATATTTTGTGAGAATACAAAATGCATGTTTTTTAAATATGGTATGTTTAACTCAATTTCGCCATTTTGTTAGATACGCCTTTTCGTGATTCGACCCACGGCGTGTATGTGTAACAATGATTCGCAGAAATGCAAGGTGCTACACATAGCCGCGTCCGCGCGAGTACTTGAACCGCGGTTCAATGCCGCGTGGCTCGTGCAGCCGGCCTAATGTCACACGGCGCAGCGCATTATGGTCCCCATACATATCAAGCTCATTTTTCAAACCAAGACTGCTGACCAAGTCTACTTATTCACTTGGTTCCAGATTCAAAATATTCTTTAAGGCCCATTTTATTCACAAAACGTATAAAAGTCATAAAATAATACATAAATAGATCCGGTTTCAAAGCAATTGTAATAATAATAACAACAAATACATAATAAATAACATAAATTAATAACCAAGCCTTCAGCTAAGAAAGCAGAATTTCAGATTTAATCCTTATGTTTTATGAAGTAACTAAATTAACATCATTTGGACAATTTTAATGCAAATCCAAACAAATGTTCCTACACAAAAGAAAAACAAGTGATCAAAAAATACTTTGCGTCAATAGCTACATCTAGATTTTAAATTCTACATAGATTCTCGTCACTCAAAAGCAAATAAATAATGTTTCCACTTTACAGAAAAAACTAATCTACATAAATACGAATCTGTTTATTTTTAAGATGTAATTTGGTTATGATGAGTAAATGAGGGCTATCGTTTTTATACGTAGCAGTTGGCACCCCTGGCGATTGACAGGACCTTACTCTACAGTGGCGCCATCTTGATGACTGCAAATGCGATAGTCCTCCTACCACTTAAGCACTCACCAGTTGGTGCCACTGTCTTCGCTACTAGCAAGTGACAGGACCTTACTCTACAGTGGCGCTAACTGGTGAGCGCTAAAACGATAGCCCTCATTGAGACGACCTGAGACCGCTGAGAGTTGACCTCATGAAAACTGATTTATAAATTTGATAGATCACTAATTTAGTTAATGACTCAATCATTTCTATTAACTCTCCTTCGTGGTTTTTTAGAATCCCATTTGTATATTGGAAAAGAAGTGTAAAGTAAGTTCGTGATCTGGTAGACGGCAAGCAACACAGGCTTGATTGAAGTGCTGCAGTGGAGAAAAAATAGAATACGTAGGTATATGCAAATAACTAAAACCACTGTTCCTAAAGTAAACACCTGTCAGGTTACTATGCATTTTCTGATTCTATACAGTGGCGGCGTTAGGCGTAGGCGACGTGGGCCACCGCCTACGGCCTCGCGGAACAAGGGGCCTCGCGCATCAAAAATTTTGAAAAAATGTATACAAGGTGGAGATGACAATATCACAATACGACAATAAATGCAAACATTGACTATCTATATATATAAAAGAAAGTCGTGTTAGTTACTTCGCTTATAACTCAAGAACGGCTGAACCGATTTAGCTGAAAATTGTCAGGGAGGTAGTTTAGAGCCAGGAGAAGGACATAGGATACTTTTTATCCTATGTCCTGTAATATTTATTGCCATTAAGGCGGAACAAAGTTCGCCGGGTCAGCTAGTTAAATATAAATTCTTGATAGCTAAACAATGTAGTTAAAAAAATATATTTTTTTCCAAACAAATTCAGCCATAATCAGACACAAAATTAAGCAACAACACGGTTTTAAGTGACGAACATTATTCTTTGGCGCAATATTCCTTTAAAAATAATCACTGAATCAAGAAATCAGTGGGTCTAGACAAAGTGCAAATTATAATCGCAAACCAGTCGAAAAGTGGTCGAAAAGCCCCTTTTTTGTATGGAGTTTTGACGGATTCGATTTTCGATTCGATCAAAAAGTGCGTTTTGTCTAGGGGGGCAGAAACTGTCAATGAATAGACCCGTTTTTTTATTTTTTTTATAAAATCCGTCTTCAGGTCGCCACAGAACAAGGCCTCGCGAAATCTGTCTTGCCCACATCAAATTTAGGTCTTGCCCCGCCACTGATTCTATATGCACATCACGCCCCAGAGCTTGAATCAACTACCTATTTTCAATGAAAAATAAATTAATTCGTGTTGCATCAACTTATGGTGACGTCAGTTATTACAATTTACTAAAGAATAAGAAGATGAGAAGACCCAGGGAAAAACATATTATAATTTTTATCCCGGTTTTTGGAAGGGGGATACGCGTTTTAAGGACTTTCTGTGAACAGATCGAAATACACGCGCGCAAAGTCGCAGGCCAATTAGGTAGATATCAATAACATTACGACTGTACGCGGCCCTGAGGGTAGCCTCGTAACTACCCTTTGTTTGTGTCTCTCCACTAACATTATGATATTGTCACGCAAGACTTCCTTCTAGCAAAATAGGGACCGCTTGCGTTTTCGGTTGTTTTGCTACTGTTACAAGTACGTTACAGTAACTACAAGTACTGTTATAAGTAGTAGGTACTGGTAGTACATACAAATTTATACAGGGTGTCCCAAAATTGGCATGTCACACTAACACCACAGGTCCTAAGATGAGCCTAAGGCGCATGGAACAAAATCAATCAAAATCAAAATCAAAAAATATTTATTCAGTTTAGACCACAAGTGGCACTTATGAACGTCAATAGAAAATAATAAAAAAAGAAAAAGGTAGCCCTTATGGGGCACTTTACATGTCTCCTTATCTTTTGGGCCCTACCAGCGCTTCGAGACAAACATATGGCAAGTGCTGAGAAGAAACGCCGGAACTATCTAATAAGTCCATTTGTTTAAATAACTAATATCAGTCATATTTCAAAACTCATCAAACCTTTCTATGGAATTAATAACTATTCTATGGACATTAACCGTCTGAGTCCCAGACGGCATTAATTAATGTTATAACAATTGATATCTATTGTGTCTAGATTCGCGGGCCTTGAAGGATTAATAAATAAAAGTTATGAAACTTTTCTATCGACATATTAGGCTTCTTCAATGCGTCTTAGGCCCAGCTAGGTACCTCCAGTGTCAATGTGTCTGCTAATTTGAGACAATCTGTATGTATAAGATGGTAAGATTAGATAAGCTTGACATAACATGTAATTATAGGTACATGTTACGTTTAAGATTGTGCAACAGTAAACGAATTTCCGAACGTAATTAATAGGTTAAAATTAAATTAATTAAATCCTACTCTATGAAAAAGGTATACAAAATAACGTGTCAGCAAAAACATTTCTATCAATGACATGTGAATTTCGAGTTCACAGTTCAAGGATGCAAAGAATACAAATATAATCAGCAGCAGTATCAATGATCTAATCAGTGGAACAAATAGAAATACTCACAGAAAGACCGATTTTGTTACATTTTCTAAGTTACCCAGTTTATTTGTTCACGTTTTCCGAGAACGGTTTTGAATTTGAATAACTAAGAATGTTGCTATAAATAATGAGGCTAATTACGAGATTCCACTTAAAGGCAAATTAATAATAACGCTTTTAAATATTCTCGTTAGGAAATCAATATTAATGAAATGACAGATATTTTATAGTAGGTACTTATGATAAAAGTTTGCTTCGCATCAAAAGTTATGTAGGTATTTACTACTTACCGTTCAAAGAATAGATCACTGCCGAACAGCTTTGAATGGTTATTAATAACATCACTAACTGATACATTTTAGTATGTATAGTTATAGCCACCATCTTGTAAAAATTGTATTTAAATAAAACAAAAAAACTCCCACCAAAAACTTTTGACACTTTCGGAATTCGCGACTTTGAAAATTTTAAACGTCAATTTTTTTTAATCGTATTGTGTGTGATACTTTTTTTTACGACGGAGGTAGTTAACCGTATTGTCCAGTCTCTTGACTGCCAGTGATGAATGTGTGAGATGTGGTTTATCCTTGTTGGTCTAGTTGTGGGGCCGACCTCTGCGGCGCGTCCACTGCTATTGAGCTGTGACGTGTCGCTTGCGATTTATTCCACTTTGTTCACATGGGTGAAGAAAGTGATTAATTCACCCAGGTACCTATTTGCATCTGTTCACCGGGGTGAATGCGATTTAATCTACTTTGTTCACATGGGTGAAGAAAGTGATTATTTCACCCAGGTATTTGCATCTGTTCACCGCGGTGAATGCGATTTAATCTACTTTGTTCACATGGGTGAAGAAAGTGATTATTTCACCCAGGTATTTGCATCTGTTCACCGGAGTGAATTAATTTCTAGGTGAACAAAGGCAACCGCTTTAGTCGACTCAATTGAAAAATGAAGTTGGGTGAAATAGTTTCGAGGTGAAATTAGGACACTAAAAATTCCACTTCACCCAGGTGAACCAAGTGGAATAAAGCCTCCGACGCACGCATCTGATGGTATGGACGAACAATTAAACGTCATGATAATTGAAGCGTAACGGAAGTGAGTTGGATAATTTTTACGTTTTAAATTGTTAATAAAAAATATCTTTAAGTATTTTACAGGCTTTGTTGACCTTTAAAGAGCTTCTCCTGCTTCAAGTTTTTAAAAACGATATACCTATGATTCTATAATCAACTACCAATAATATCATTCACGATCAATAAAAGTCAGTTTCCTTGGTAACTTTGGCCGGCGCTAATTGTGTACCTAGGTACATGAATATTACTGGGTTTTTTACAGGATTTTTTCCATGAATAATAAATACACGAAAAGACTTTAAAAAATTGCATACAAAATTTTAAAATCGGAAACGGAAGCTAAACTGTCTCATTATTCAATATAAATTACTGTAAACAGAAAGATAAGCTTTTTTCTCACCTCCATAAAAGTCACGGTGACAAAAGTCACCCGTCGCGAGCCCTAAAGTATACAGGGTGGAAACGATAAGTGATCTCACGCGATTATTTTCAAACTATACAAGATGTCAAAAAAACTAGTTACTGATCCTGAAAGTGCTAATGAAATAGCTCTATAAAACGGTAGGTAACAATAAATAGGTTACAGAATAAACTGGAACTATAAATTGAAAATTCAATGTTTCCAGCTTCCATACTAAATGTATGCCAGCCACATACGTATTTTTTTAATAAAATAATAAACTTAAAATAAACTCGTAAATTGCATTCTTATTTAAAATTATTTATTAACAGTTTTACTTTTCCTATCATGCTCCATAGATGTTTCCCTTCCTCCACATAAAGTCTCTCATCATGCTTTCAGAAGACTGGTCTTAGTAAAGTCTCTCAAATTCCTCTTTTGTATGATGATGGAAAATTTCAAATCGCTGTAACTTCTTAAATAGCAACTATTTTTGTTTTGTAATCGCACTTTTTTGTATATATTTGCATAAATAATTAAAATATATTAAGTAAAACCCATGCGCGAAAAATATTTTTTTTGTTGATATTACAATTGACGAGCCAACAGTCGGTAGCACCTTCCTCGTGCAAGTTCTTTAAAAATACGGTTGTTTAAACGAATAGTACGTCGGGAATTTCAACGAGTGACTTACGCAGTAGAGTGGAGTGAATTCACAAATGCAGTCAGAGACATCAAAACACATCACCAACAAAAGAATTAGTCATTAGGGCCCCCGCTGAAAATCAGTTTCAAGACAAGCCCTGGCGGTCTTGATGTACGCTGAGCGGGTGCCTTTTTGTCAGAGGGGCTCAAGCAGTTAATTGTCCACTTGTTTATTTCTCTCTGTTTCTTGCAAATAAAAAGTTTTTTATTCTATTCGATTATATTCATTGATGCCTCCGACTGCATATGTGAACACGTTGTTGATTTGTTTTTATCTTTTTAGTTGATTTTTACGCAATTTAATTTATGACTTTCTATATTGTTAGGTTAGGTTCAGACTCGAGACTTTAATCTATATTTAAATTAGAATACTGCTACTATAACAAGCATGAAAATTTATTTGCATTATTGAGACAAGTGAGTAGTGTAGTGAAGAGAAAAACGCATAAAATGGAGAAACTGGTGCTCCTCGGCTTAGTGTTGCTCGCACAACAAGCTGCATCCCAAAATGTGATCTACAAATTAAGTAGTAAGTATCAATATAATAGTTACTAGTCCTTTCGACGACCATTTTCGAGACAACACATTTACTACCAAAAGCATAAAAGTGAACCAAAAAATCATACTCAATAGGTCTTTAGTTATTATTTCGACATAAGAGATAGACTATGTACTTTTCCCATAAATTATGTCAAATTAAACTATCAAAACTGGTTCTACGGTTTATAGTAGACGAGTTTATGAGTAACACACAATTATTATTTTCCCTTTTTTTATACTAACAATTTTTTTTTAATTCAAGTAATTTTTTTTCGCTATTTAAAAAGATTTTGCTATTTAGAAAAATAAAAATTTATAATTTTTAATTAATTTTCATTAAAGAAGAGGAATTCATCCGCATGCCGCCCAAGTTCCACGTGGACCGCTTCTTGCGCTGCATGGGCGGGCGCGGCGGCGTGTACTGCGCCGCATACGCCGACGTCGTCGCCGACGCGCCGAGCGAGCTGCTCGACATGATGCGGGTGAGGACCAGGGATGTTATGGATATCCGTAACCGTAACCAAAACTATCGGATATCCGAAAAAAATAAATATCCGATATCCATAACCGAAACTTCATATCTATAACATCCCTGATGGATATGAAGTTTCGGTTATGGATACGGTTACGGATATTACAATAATATTATACCGGTTTCGGTTACGGTTACGGATATGAAATCATTTCGGATTATCCGAAAGTTTCGGATAATTTCGGTTACGGATATTAGAACTTTAAAAATGGTAAAATTCAAATAGCAAGATGCTGCGCGACCCATAAAGCCACTTTATGTACTATGACGACAACTATGATAAGGTAAAACAGGTGGGGATATTAGATGATGCCAGGGACTCCGCCTTTAAATCCGAAACTTTTGAATCGGTTTCGGTTACGGTTACGGATATCCATAACATACCTGGTGAGGACTCCCAGAATGTTGCATGATTTCATCACTCATCAACCTTAATAGATTCTGTCCTTAGTCTAAATATTGAAATTCTCCGAAACAAACGCCTTCATTATATTTTTCAGCTCAAACTCGGTATCTGTCATCAGCATCATCATTATTTCAGCTATACGACGTCCACTGCTGAACATAGGCCGCCCCCAATGCTTTCCATGTTGATCGATTGGTAGCGGCCTGCGTCCATCGCTTCCCTGTTACTTTTATGATGTCATCGGTCCACCTTGTGGGTGGACGTCCCACGCTGCGTTTTCCGGTACGCGGCCTCCATTCCAGAACCTTGCTGCCCCATCGGCCGTCAGTTCTGCGTACTATGTGCCTTGCCCATTGCCACTTCAGCTTGCTAATTTCGCATGTGTTTTCCAATTTTACACATATTTTATTCATCTCCTGCAGGCGTACTCAGCGCACTCAGTCACGCACTACAACTATACGAATTTGCGATACGGTTTGTGTCTCACGCAAGAATGCCGGTCGTTCTACAACGGCAGTGACAACGAAGCAGATCTCAAGACGTCGTCTGAAGCTTGCCTCAACCACTCTCTGTCTGCTGAGTATGGTCTTAAGACTCGTGTCACAGAGGTTAGTCTAGAATTGTACCATTCTACATCTAATTGCAACATTTAGATATTTGTAGTACCCAAGGCGCCGTCTATTAACCGGTGGTGGGAACTCCCCGGGTTTTCGTGGGTTCGAACCCCATATCTCATCCTACCGTCTCGGAAACGGAGGTACTCGTATGTAAAGACGATTTTGGTCCAAAAAATAATAAAGCGAATATTAATATTTGGCTATGTACAATTGTACAATGATCGCGCCAATACAATAATCGCAAAACCTATTAGACTTGAACTCAGTCTTACACTTGCTCAATTTTTGATTTTTGATAATACACCAAAAATAAATAGTATAGAAGTTTGAGAAGAACTAGTTTGGGGACAGTGATGGCTGTAGACTTTTGCCCGTTTCAAGCACTGAATGCGTAAAACTGCATGAACAACTTTCTTCTTCAAATCGTATGCGTATTCGACAAAATTCGATACTCAACCTTCGAATTAAATGATAACGTTAATAATTTTGATTCTCAAAATAAGTTTCGTGCACCCATTTCTCATACTAAGTTCACTTTACGACACGTTCACAAGGGCGCTGTTGTAGTTTTCGTACTAAATCTTTTGATGGCGATTCGAATACGCAAACGATTCGAACTCGAAAGTTTTTCGTGCTAGCTGTACTGATCATGTACGAGTTTGTCAGGTAAACTGCTACTTCGAGGGTAAGAGCAAGTACTCGGTGGACTGGATGGACCGGCTGGTGGCGCTGCTGCTGCTCGGAGTCCTAGCGCTCAACGTACTGGGTACTGCGTACGGTCGGCTCAGGGACCGGACAAAGCCAGGTATTTAATTAGTAGCGTAGTCTTTAACTCGAGATATAAAGCTTTTTGGCTTACACTGCATATTTTCTTATTTATTACTGAGTACTGACAGACAGTATCTGTCTGTCTTATCAATTATTCATTATTTTGTTTTTTTTTTACTACAAGGCTGCAAGGCAGATGTCAGTTGTTGTTGATGACGTAGGTAACAAAAAACGATGTAAGTAGATGTAGAACAAAATCACACGGCGCGGTGCGTCGCCGCACCGCAACCGTAACCGCCTTAGGCGATTATCACACTGCACCGCGCTCCGCCGCGGTACGCGGGACGACAGATTTAATCATTGTATGCAATTACCTCAGTTTGTATAGAAAACACGCGCGGCACAAGACACTGACAACGCCTCTGCGCGCGGGATTCGTTATATGTAATCACGCGGACCGCGGCGGAGCGCGGTGCAGTGTGATAATCGCCTAAGCCATTTTGCCGCATTGACAACCACACGGTAAGTGCGGCGGAGCTTGGTATTTGGCAGACTGGCACCGGCTCCGAGAATATGAACCATGGTCATATTGGTCATATATTTGTCCTAATAAATAAGTAATTATTTTTATACTTTTTAGTGGATTTTTTTGAGTTTTTAAAGTGTAGTTTTTGAAGTCGTTTTCTTTAAACGCAATTTTTGTATGTAGATTCAGCAGTAACGGTCAGGCGCCGCACCGGAGCCACACCGCGCCATGTGGTTTGGCTCTAGTCTTGCTGCTTGCCATTGCGTAAAAATAAATGATCGCTTAATTTAAACTTTCATAAATACGTTATAAAATTTTCAGCAAATCCCATACTAATGGCATTTTCTCTTAGTGAGAATTGGAAACGACTGAAAGAGCCTCCATCGTCGGATCCCAAAATGAAACAGCTCCGGCAGCTCAACGGAATGAAGTAATCAAAATATTAATAAAAAATTATAAAAATACTAGATTTTAAACTTTCGCGTTCCATTTCAACTAAAATAGTAAGACACTAAAATAAACAACTAAAATAGCGAGCCGCCAGTCTGCTTGTGATCACGTCAAGCCGTGAGTACATAATAATGTAACTCATTAATAAACGTCGCGTTAAGACCCGTGTCTTACTATTTTAGTATAAAAATACTGCTGGTCCTTGTATGTACACACGGCTGTTTATCCATTTTCGTTTTTGCTCTCGCTCTAATCAAATGGTGATTCTTTGCGATAGAACGAGACGACATGACAGGCAATGGATAGTTAACACTGTGGCCGATGATACCTAGTTTTTCTCGAAAACAAACACTTCACTATTTGTATCATTTTCCTGGTGTCTATTATATTTAACTTAAAAACCATTCAGTTAACTTTTAATCCACAGGGTGATGAGTGCGATCCTCACAGTGCTAGGTCACGCAGCCTTGCCTCTTTTCTTTACTATCGAAAATACCAACTGGTTGGAAAAGGTAATTTTAACTATCTACTCAATCTTTATTAAAAAGTTTGTAATAAAAGTCATCAATTCATAACATTCGTTGATGTTGTTAAAACTCCATAAATTAGTGTTCAAGACCTAACGCGATAGGCTTGGAACTTCTAAGGCTTTGTTTCCACCAGGGATGTGCGAGGATGCGTAGCGATGGTTTGTGAAGAAATAACAGAATCGCTTCGTTTACCTCGCCTCAAACTTCAGGGCTAATATAACTCACAATATTGCACTTTATTTCTAAACTTCGTTCTCATCATCAATAGCCTCAATGCCCTCAATCAACCTTCCAAGTTTTTGTCTTAAGAGCAAAACCTCCAGCATTTTTTGTCCAGACACGTCTGGCATGTGCCTTTTAATAATATGTCAGAAAAATGCTTTCCACTCTCTACTTATGAATCCGTTTCTAGCATATTTCGTACGTTCTGTTATACAGGGTGTCCCAGAATGGGTGAATCAAACTGATAGGGGAAGTAGCTCTATTAATGTACTATCCCTAAAAATATGAAAAAAAAAAATAAAGCGCATAAGGAAAAAAATTTTTTTTCTGAAAAAGTGTAAATCAGCTTTGCCTAAGTATCTGGCTATAATTGCTGCGTTTGGAGTTTATTTGTACTTTTTTCTTACTACTATTAATTGTACATGATCGCTTCGTTTATCTGTAAACAAACTTTTGAAAATAATGACTAGATTTCGAGTTTAGAGCACTTTATTTAAAAAATTCTAAACTCAATTTTTTTTTCATATTTTTTAGGGATAGTACATTAGTAGAGCTACCTCCCCTAGCAGTTTGATTCACCCATCCTGGGACACCCTGTATGTATATTTGTTTTTTTATCTTGTCATGTTTGCTCGCAGGTTTATGATCACCCCATGGCCAAGTTTATGCTGCACGGGCATCTGTTGATGGCGACCTTTTTCCTGATCTCGGGGCTGCTGCTCGCGTATAACACTCAAGTGATGGCTGAGAAAGTGACTCTTTCCTGGAACATTCTGCCGAGGGCTATCTTTAATAGGTGGCTGAGGTAAGTAATGCTATTTTCATTTCTATTTTTTCTCCGTATTCAGTCACTCGGTGAAATGACGATCTGGTTAAGGTTGCGAGACCTAACCGCTCATTGTGGAAATCTTTGTCCAGCAGTGGATGGCATTTAGCTGAAACGAGCACTGGAATTTGGGTTACTCTACGAAACTCGTTCCTCAAAAATTGGTGGTGAAAATTCCGTGAGGGTGCAATTTAGTCAAATCTGTCAAAACTACCATTTACTATTCGCAGGTTGACACCAATGTGCATGGTGTTCATATCAATAACAGCCACTTTTATGAGGTTTGCTGATTATGGGCCTTTTGGGCAGGTAAGAATCTATACTAATAATTATTATAAATGCGAAAGTAACTCTGTCTTTCTGTCTGTCTGTCCCGCTTTCACGCCTAAACCACTGAACCGATTTTGATGAAAAGACAATGCCGGAAATTGGCGTCTTTTTTTTTCGCGCGGCCATCGACCAAACCTTGTTTTTTGATTACAAAATAGTGTAATAAACCAAACTTACTATGACATGTATACCTCTAAACTCAGTCTGAACTGAGTTACGAGCATTAGAAGTTTGATGATTTTACATACTAGATTTGCTTTTTGCACGCAAGTTTTGTATGAAATTGCAACAAAATATAGTATTTTTTATTAAGTAGACGTGAGTTGATACGAGTATTATTAGTTGCCCGAGTTACTATAACTATTTAATACCTACGTGATCTGAATTTATTTGGTTATTATTACAGATTATAGGTCTGGAAGCGCAGGACTGCCGTGACTACTGGTTCTATAACTTGTTCCACCTTCACAATTTCAATGACCACTCGCAGTGCCTCCTTCAGACCTGGTAGGTACAACTTTTCGGACAAAGTCTAATACCCAACGATCTCTATAGAAGCAACACAATTGTTTTACAACATTTTTAGTCATTGATAAACTGTACTGTTATATTTTTATCTAGAAATTGACGTGACTTTTGTTAAGAAATTCTTGACCAGGTGACGATAGCACTCTTCAATAAGGTACAACAGTTTTCAGTTCATGAATCTATTTAACGTAAATAGTGCCACTGAAACTAATTCCTAGATTATTTCAATTAATGTAGAGCTATCATAACTTAAATTGACTATAAATTGACGTAATAAATAATAGTAAATTAGGAGTAAATAAATCATTAAAATGTTCCGAAGGTCCACGGCTTGTGACTTCCACCTGCACATCATAGGCCTGGTCGTGATGGTGCTGTCGCCAAGCGCCAAGGCGCGCTGGTGGTGCCTGGGCGCGCTGTTCGCGGTCGGCCTCGCCTGGCCTGCGTACAACATTTACACTATGGACCTAGATGCCACCTTGCTCGCCAGTCCCAGGTAGGTCCAGGCCCCTCTTTCCCACTGGGCACTTTGGGCACGTGCCCACGCGACCGAGGGGGCCCCCATCTACTAATAAGACCTTTTTCCAGATGATAAGGGCCCCCCTTAATCCTTAAATGCCCCTAGTAGGTTTAAGACAGCCCTGGGTAGGTCACAATAATGCCTTTCTAGCCTTCCCATAGAGGCCCAATCAAAAGGCTAAGGGCAGAAAGCTTGCAACTGACATCATTCTAGCGTCATACTTTGACGAATTCTTCAGAGGGTAAGTCAATGTTAGACGCCATCATAAGTGGCTCTTAAAGTCTGAAATCAGGGTTATCAACGTTTCAAAAGACTCGAATATTCTGTCACAGCTGCATGGATGCAGATTTTTTCTTTAACAAAGTACCTTCTCCCCAGAGCCATGCTTGGATTATTCATCAAGGAGCCGACATTCAACTACCTGTACAAGCGCACGTACACCAACCTGCCTTCCTTCGTGGCGGGCATCCTGTTGGGCTACCTGATCTACGACTGGCAGAAAAGGAACGTCTTCGCGCGCGACTTGACGGTATGCTTTACGGGACTATTCCCACCTCTCGTTCCCACCACTGCAACTCCTGTGTAGCCAGGATCTACAGCTTGACTGCCACAAAAACCCAACCAATGAAGGTCAATCAATGACGGTATGCTTGCACCCCCGACGGAAAGAGAGCTGATCTGGGTGACCAAAGGGATGTTTTACGAAAACCCCCAAACATAAAAAAACCCCACCGAGATGCCGCAAAAACATATCAATGCATGAAGCTGACAGAACTCAGTTTTAGCATAATGAAAGATAAATTCAAGAGTTTAATTAAAGTAATTCCGTTATCATGTTTTTGTATCTGATTGCATTTTCTGATTCGCGTGAGAGGGGTCGAACTACTCCGACCTTTGGGCTATTGTTGCCTCATTTCGTTCGTTCGTTCGTTTCAGCCGAAAGACGTCCACTGCTGGACAAAGGCCTCCCCCAAGGATTTCCACAAAGACCGGTCCTGCGCCGCTTGCATCCAGGTACCTCATTTAAATAATTATATTCCAGAAATACCGCTATCTATACTGGCTACTGCTCCCCGCGCTGGTGATGTTGGTGTCAGCAGCCGGCGTCTACTGCCGGGACGCGCCGCGGGCCTCGCTGCCGCTGCGGCTGGCCTACGGGCCCGTCGTCCGGCCGCTGATCGCCGCGGTCATCGCCCTCTTCATTCTGGGCACCATGTTCAAAGTTGAAAGTAAGTTCTTCACTACCTACTATCTTTTTTACTTGAGGCAGATAATGGTGGAGACGGCTAGATACTGCTGCGAACTGGCGAACGCACCTTTCTTTGATCGGATGTCGCTGTCATGCCACTCATTATGCTCGACGCCAAGTTCAAAGATAATGAAGGTTCTTCTATTCAATGCCCAATATCCTAGACTATACCATCCTAGACTGCATCCCATCAGGTGCGATTGTGGTCAAATACCTGCCTTGTTATGCATAAAAAATAATAAAAAAACATAATACTCTTCAAACTGCACTCCTAATGTGCGGGCAAATGTGCTATCATGGTTGATGACAAAGAAGAAGTTATTATGTTAAAATCCTAGACTGCATCTCGCTTTATTGTGATGACTATCAAAATCCCTGTCTTGTTCAGCCTTAAGGCCTATTCAAACCTGAGCGATATTCGCTGCCGCTGTGGGTAGAGGTACATGTACGGTGGGACGGTAGCGAATACCGCTTAGGTCTGAACAGTATTATTACCGCATACCCACTGGGTTTTCTCTGCCGCAGACAGTAGCGAATACCGCTTAGGTCTGAATAGGCCTGTAAAAACGCTCCTCCTACCACAGCTTTTCTGACTCTCATTGTTTTCTTAAAATTCCCCAGTTTGCATCTTACATTTCTTTCGAATCTTTCACACATTTCCTCGAACTCGATGCCAAGTTATAAAAGATTATTAGTTAGTAATTTGTTATTGCACAAATTACTAATGGTCCCGTTAGACCCTCGTACTAAGCTAAATATGCTTGTGTCACGAGTGGGCTCACCACAATTTATAGTCGAGCGGCGGCGGGGACCGAACCCGCGTGCCCCGGATCACGAGCCGGCCAGTCCGACCCCTTCACCGTTAGCAGATCGTGGCCTCAATTTAACCGCCTCTGTGGTCTAGTGGTTAGACCACCTGCTTCAGACGCAGAGGTCCCGGGTTCGATTCCCAGTGGGGGCAGAATTTTCTGTTCGGTTTGTTTGGTGGTAGGGCTTGTTCTAAGTCCGCCTGGCTAGCTATCACCATCTTACCTAAGTCTGTCGCCATAACAACAATGTTAACAGCATTGTTGTGTTCCGGCAGTTAGAGGTAAGATAGCCAGCTCCTCTGTGGTTGAGGATTCCGGGTGAAGCTCGCTTCCACCTTTGGCCTGATCATCACTTATCATCTAACAGGCCAAATCCCACCACCACCCATGGTTCTTCCTGCCTCACGGCGTACGAACCGAATCTAGGAGAGCGCGCAGGTATTTGCTCTGGGCTCTTTCCCCGGGCGCTTTGCTTGACTCCCTACAAATTTCTCTTATCCTTGTCCCTTCTCATTGTCAATTCTCCCCCATCTGGGGCTTGACACCACAAATACGGTACTTCGCGTCGGGCTGCTAACGTTGATGAATGTCATCACTTCTCGTAACTTCGCCTGATTGTGTGCCAGAAGTGCGCGAACTCGCGCAGCGCGATCNATGGCTCTTAAAATAAAGTTTGTTTACACTTTGACAGCAGTAGACTGACATGCAAGGTGACATGTCAATGAAGTTTTCAGTTACTGTTGCCATTAAAAGAAATTAGTACCATTAATTTTCCGCAACATGGCGAGGGTTTTTATGTTCCTGGTTAGGCTATAAAGAAGTTACAGGACCCCAAAGTTGCGCATAACAAATATTTTGCGCCATTTTATCGGCACCACTCATTCGAATTACAAAAAAAACAAAGCATTGTGATTAAGACTTGAATGGATTGCGTGACGTCAGGGCACCGCTTATGTTTGAGTTTCACGCGAAAATATGTAGGTAATTTAACCCCTAGTATGAAAAAGTGACGTGCAACCGTGTACCCGTCATCTGCGCAGAGTTCGCGATGGGTGGCGAGCGCGCGCGCCTCCTCTTATAATATGTTGAAAATCTCTTAATATTTATATTAAACTTACTTAACTAAAGACTGTTCTTTAAACCTAAGAAGCTATTCTACATTTGCACTATTTTTTATTGATAAAACATGATTTGTGTTTATTCTACAGGCCATTAAATAATTAATTTCTCAGCCATTTCTTGATGGATTTATAAAAAACCTTCACCGTCTTTTTAGTTTTGGTTTTTAATCGCATTCAATGAATTATGTTTTCAACATCACGAAACTCCTCCATTATCTCTGCCATAAGTTACGCGGTGTACAGCAACGAGCGCGACGCGATGTCAAAAACTTCTTCTTTTTGTTCTTCGCTGATTTAATACTCCGTCTCAAACGCAACTGTGCTCGGCAGAGAACGTGACTCGCTGGGAGCGCACGGTGCAGGACGGCGAGGACGAGCTGGAGGCCGGACGGCAGGCGGAGGCCAAGCAGCGCCAGGACATCGACCGCGAGCTCAAGCGCGCCGACGCACTCAAGGCCGACCGAGCAGCCGCGCGCGCGCGCTCCCAGGCCGCCGACGACGCGCTCGAGAAGGTACGATCGCTGGATGCAAGCGGGCGGTAGTTTGAGGCCCCCGAAACGGCCCCTGAAATGTAAAAACGGGTGAAAAGACCAGAAGTGACCTTTTTACGAACTAAAGTCGCTGACATAGCCCGACGGATCAGCAAGCTGAAGTGGCAATGCGCAGGACTATGTGCCCTGCCCACTTCCACTTCCACTGCGTACGCAGAACTGGCCACGTACCGGAAAACGCAGCGTGGGACGTCCACCCACAAGGTGGACCGACGACCCTTGCCAAATGTTGGTCTCGAAGCGCTGGTAGGGTAAAAAGATTATGAGACGTGTAGAGGCTCCTTAAGAGCAAAATGACGATTTGTAAGAACTATTTACTAGTCTAAACAAATAAAGAAATTTTGACTTTGACTTTGACCTGATAAAGGTAGCAGGAAGGCGCTGGATGCAGGCCGCTACCAACCGTGCGATGTGGAAGTCATTGGGGGAGGCCTATGTTCAACAGTGGACGTCCTGTGGCTGAAATGATGACTTTTTTACTGTTTACAGCTTTTTAATAACTCATTTTTTGTAAAGTGTGATTTTATTGGTTTAGGAAAAAATATTTTTTTTTAGTAGTTGATCGCTGCCGATTTCATGATTTTCTTCGATATTCTGTTAACGACATCTATCACACATTGACAAAACATCAACTAATGTAAAGCTGAAAAATGACGGCGCTATGTGACGTCATCTACCGCATCGGTGGGGACAAGTGACTACATTTGGACTGGACTCTCATTTTGTTTTTTGCGTCTTCAATTTTAACGGTTATGCTTCGACCAATCATAGGCCAATGACAGGTCGCGCGACCCATGACAGTAAGTGCGACCTATCGTTGGCCTATGATTGCGCCGCGATGGCGATCTGAACGCGTTGATGTGGTTGAAGCTTTACTACCTACCGCTCTGTTAATTATTTTGTAAGTGATAAACGAATCTTAGATATTAAATAAATCGTGTGCAGGAAAGACCTAACTAACCCGTAGACGACAAAATTGTGATCGTGCAAGTTATTTCGAACCGTAAATCGTGTTTCTGTGAGCTGTTGATATTTCGGGGAAAACCAATGAAACTCGGAAATATTATATTAACAAACGTATTATATTCTAGAATATAATAAGATATACTCTAAGACTTCATATTTTTACAGGAAGAAAGATGGCGAGATAGAGAAAAAATGTTGCCAACATGAAACGTCAAAACAGAAAATAAAGCCAACACAAATAATTAAATGGTTGCGTTCTCATTTACCAACATAAGTGAATGTTTCCGCAGGCGCGTAAAGAGGTGCAGACGCTGCAGAAGGAAGTGGCCGGTATTCAGAAGCAGATCGCCGCCACCGAGGCCCGCATCGAGAGCAAGCGCTCCGACCGACACAACATCCTGCGGCAGTGCAAGGTGAGCCTTTGGAATTTTTTTATGCATAACAAGGCAGGTATTTGACCACAATCGCACCTGATGTTAAGTGGGATGCAGTCTAGAATGGTACATATCTGCCCTGTAAGTGCCTATTCACTCTCGCCTTTTTTTATCCACAACGAGGAAGCTCTTGGCCTGTATTTCACCTGATGGTAAGATATGATCAGGCCGAAGGTGGAAGCGAGCTTCACCCGGAATCCTCAACCACAGAGGAACTGGTGAATCTTTTTAATATTCGACCCACAAGCGATTCCTTTAGAATAAGTGTACATGTTGTTATGTAACAATGTTGGTAGACCTAATAAATAAATAAGTGAGGTTGCTACATTACTCTCGAATGGCTGACCAGCGAAAGATAGACAGAAAGTATTTGTCTCAAAACAGGTTAGATTTACAGTTTCTTACACAATATTAAAGTGGTAAGAGACAAAAAGGTCTATGACTCAGAGTTTGCAGGAGACCCACAAATCCAGTTATTCTGCCGTAGTCATAAAAATAATAATTTGTATTTAAGAGCGTTTACGCCGTTTGGCGCAAAAACAGTACTTTTTCAACTCGTTACAATCATTAACCAGTAATACTACAAATATGTTATAGGCATAAATAGTTAGGCAATTTCGTCGTCTAAATAGTTAATTGAGAAAATATTGCGATTAGTTTAGTATTCAAGAATTATATCAAGATAAGTCCACACAGGTTTTGTAAATTTCCACTTTAGCGTCAGTTTACAAGCTGAAATTTTTATAAAAATACTGTGAAAACGATTTAACAAACATTTATATCCTATAGCATAGATCCTTGGGCAAATAGTTATCTGAGAAAATTTTTAGATTTAAGCATTTTACAATATGAAAACTCAAATTAAAAAAACNATACTCAACAACACCTTTCTCATCACAAAAATCGACGAGCGTCGGTACCATACGGCCGCAGCGTACGTCAATGTGGCCACATAAATGCCTGCGTACAGCACAATTAGGGCGGGGAATCTCACGCCCCATGACGTCGCGCTGACACGCGCAATCTTGCCAAAACCATTGGCAGCTCTTAAACCAATCAATTTCGCATGCGGCACGTAGGACCTAGCCTCGTCGAGGGTCACACCAAGCACTGTCGCCTGAGTGACGTTCGCAATGGAGATGCCGCCGAGTTTAATTACGGGAGAGCGTTTGAATCTACCCTTATACGTCATTGTGAGAGACTTTCCAGGGGAGAAACCAAGTCTGTTACGGGTTCCCCAATCGGACATAGCTCCCAAAATAGACGCGGCCTTACGCTCGATCTCAGAACGTGACGTAGCCTCGACTGCGATCGTCACATCGTCTGCGTACGCTATTACGTGTACCCCCTCAGGACACGGCAGCAGCAGGAGGTCATTGAGTAGGAGGTTCCAGAGTGTCGGGCCCAACACTGATCCCTGGGGACATCCCATGGTGCTGCGCTTCCACGACGTTTGAGCCCCTACGTAGAGGCCTACACGCTGGTCTGTAAAGTAACTGACCAATGACCTAAAGATATTAGGCGGGGCTCCGGCCTGTTTGGCCTTCAACAAAATCATCGGCCACCACGCGTTGTCAAAAGCACCGGAGATGTCCAGGAAGATCAGCTGCACGTATCTTACAGGCCAATAGCTTCCTCGTTGTGGATAAAAAAAAATATCTTGCTTGCCCTGCAGATGCGTACCGGGTCATCCTGGAGTGGCGCGGCTGGGCACCGCTGGCGCGCGTCAACTACTGCGTGTCCGTGAGCCACGTGGCCATCGTGCGCTACCTCCACGGCACCAGGGTCACTCTGTTCCACATCTCGGGTCTGCACATAGTAGGTGGAAAGAAACAGGCTGGATAAACTTTATCACTTATCAGTTATCAATACTGTAATATCGTATAGGTGTAGCGATTTAACAAATTAATATAGGTCCGTGTTTTCCCGAATTATTGTTTATTTACAACATAATATTAATAATCAAAAACAAAAAGGCACAAAACTGGAAAATTTACCAGTTTACAAAGAAGTTTTTCTTTGTTTTGTAAACTTTAAAGATTTCAGTTATTTATTATGCTAAAGCCCGGTCTGTGAGCACGTAGAATTTTGTCCAATGACCTCTAGCTAGCCATCCTTATCGCTCGCGCGTAATTATATTGCTGTCGCGACTGTGCGACGGGCGCCCGCAGTGAGTGTGCGAGCGCGATAGCAACATAATTACGCGCGAGCGATAAGGATGGGTAGCTTGGGGTCATTGGACAAAATTCTACGTGCTCACAGATTAGCTCTGCAAAACTAAATTATACCATGTACTGTTTCAGATCCACTACATCGTAGCAGTCCTGGTGTTCACGGGAATGGTAGCGGTGACGTTGCATCTCACCATAGAGGCACCCTTGTCCGAACTGATAAGGCTGTTGTTGGACAAGAAGTCGCCCAAAGTCAGCAATGGCACAGTTGTCAACGAGAATGGCGCAAACGAGAATGCAATCAAATATGATGACGTCGTAGGGTCCGAAGTCAAACCATATTTCAACGAATATAAAAAATTAAACAGTGAAGTCAATGAGTCTGCAAATAGCGGCCACGTAGTGACTAAAAGTAAAAATATCTAGGGAGATGGTTTAATAAAAAAATTAAAAATTTACCATACGACATTTAGTTAAATGATTGTTTAAATATATGGTATCGGAACACTTCAAATTGTTTTCTTTTTCCTCTTATCTTAGCATAATATTATTTTGTTACGTATGTGTTTATTACACTACTTTTTAGTGCATTTTTTTGTTTAATTGAAGTTAGAAATACCTACTACACTCGCGAGCAAAACTATGGAATCACTTACATGAAGTTGTTTCAACGCAAACTTGTGTACTAACGAATTTGTTAGTAACAAAAAAGTGGCACCATTTTAAAGATTAAACTTTTATCTTTAAATTGATACCAAATTCATTTAAATCACACCAGTATTTAAAAAGATATCTCGGCTGATGTGAAGAAGCAACGAAAAAGACATGTATGAACTGTTTGATACGTCGCGAGTTGCGGCCTTTTTACCCCCTATAAAAGCACGCGTTTTCGGACTTTTGTTTTCACACGTTGATTCATACACATCTCCGCTTCTTTTGACACTTTACCTGGGATTCTACACCTTCAGAAGCAGCACAAATCGTTGCACTATTGCAAGAAAGGCTCAGCCAGCGGGCTGTCGCACGTCAGCGCCACATAAGCCAGTCCTGGGTTTCGAAAGTTTCAAGACGCTTTCGGGAGACTAGTGGCTTTATCCCGAGACCAAGTTCTGAATAGCGCCGGTGCACATCGCAGAGGGAAGACCGTTTTTTCATGTCAACCTCTCTATGAAATCGTCATTTGACTGGAATCGATGTCCATCAAGAGCTCAGAAATGTTCGTAAGATAGCTGTTAGCGAGTGGACAGTTCGTCTAAGATATAAGCAATAGAATTTGACTCCAAAAAGGCCTGCCACAGGCTCGAAACTGACGGCAGGTCACCGATAAGCACCCTTTCAATTTGCTCGTACACATCTCGATGGGAAGGCGAGTAATGGAGGCGAGTTCTGTTCTCCGATGAATGCAAACTGTGTTTGCAGGGCAGCAGTCGAAGAGGTCGGGTTTATAGGCGGCCTGAGGAGCGATTTGTGCAGTGCTGGTTCGCTGAAACAGTGGCTTATGGGGGTGGCTTGCTCGACTTAACATCGAGATGTGTACGAGCAAATTGAAAGCGTGCTTATCGGTGACCTGCCATCAGTTTCGAGCCTGTGGCAGGCCTTTTTGGAGTTAAATTCTATTGCTTATGTCTTAGACAGACTGTCTACTCGCTAACAGCTATTCTACGAACATTTCTGAGCTCTTATTGGACGTCGATTCCAGTCAAATGACGATTTCATAGAGAGGTTGACATGAAAAAACGGTCTTCCCTCTGCGATGTGCGCCGGCGCTGTTTAGAACTTGGTCTCGGGATAAAGCCACTAGTCTCCCGAAAGCGTCTTAAAACTTTCGAAACCCAGGACTGGCTTATGTGGCGCTGACGTGCGACAGCCCGCTGGCTGAGCCCTTTTTGCAATAGTGCAACGATTTGTGCTGCTTCTGAAGGTGTAGAATCCCAGGTAAAGTGTCAAAAGAAGCGGAGATGTGTATGAATCAACGTGTGAAAGCAAAAATCCAAAAACGCGTGCTTTTATAGGGGGTAAATAGGCCGCAACTCGCGACGTATCAAACAGTTCATACATGTCTTTTTCGTTACTTCTTCACATCAGCCTGGATATCTTTTTAAATACTGGTGTGATTTAAATGAATTTGGTATCAATTTAAAGATTAAAGTTTAATCTTTAAAATGGTGCCACTTTTTTTGTTCCTAACAAATTCGTTAGTACACAAGATCGCGTGGAAACAACTTCATGTAAGTGATTCCATACTTTTGCTCGCGAGTGTAGTTAAATATAAAACAGTATTTGTTTTCAACATGAATCCGTCAAGAACATCAATTTCAGTTCAACGTGAGTTTGCGTTGATTTTACTGTCAGGCAGTGTAATGTTGAATTTATGGAGTAAAATAAGTATTTTCAACCTTTATGCGGGTAAACATTTTTACATTAATCTATCCTACTCTTAAACAACTGACCTCTTTTGGTTGTGTGGAAGAGATCACTTTATTGTGATAAGACCGCCTATATTGTACCATATATGTATATTTTGTGTATTCTCTCCCTTTTCTTGTCTTGTGTGGTGTACATGAAGTGTGATCTATATATTTAATCAATACTCGACTACATAATAATACCATGTATTATTATGGTGCCCCATTTTTTGAGATAGATCAACTAAAAGGATGGCTCGATGGAAACGCATGAAAACGCCTTGCATTATTTTATTAGTAAAGCTTTAACTGTGAGTTTGTAAGTTAGTAACTGTGAGGTTCCAGCCATTGTACCGCAAATAACATCTTACCTACTCTCTGAACTTCTCTGCCGAGATCGTCTATCGACACGTTTAAAATATCCACGAAAATACGATTTGTCTATTGTTATTTCGTTTACTTTATCCAAGCGGTGACATTAGAAGTCTTTAGACTTCTATTTCTGTAGAACAATCAATGAAGTAGTTCTAGCATTAAGGAATGAGATGCATTACTTTCCATCAGGTGAGATGCAGGCCAAGAGCTTCCCCGTTGTAGATTAAAATAAACTTATCTTAACCACTCGGGAACGGTTTGCATAATTTTCATCTTCATCATTTCAGCCATAGGACGTCCACTGCCGAACATTCTTCCTCAATGATTTTCATATTGACTGGTTGGTAGCGGTTTACATCCAGCGCCTTCCTAATTAAATTGCAAAATTTCAACTGAAGACAAATAATAATTAATGTCAATTATTATTCAATAATGATCAGTTGACTACGAGTGTGTATCTACTACAATAGAGTTCTTAAATGTTAGCTGTCTGTCGCTCCAGACGCCACGCGGCGCACGCGCCTCCTGCATGCCAAGTAGACTTATTTCTTGTCTTGACATTGAGCCTGATATGATCATGGTTTAACAGGACTATTCCTACCTCTCGTACCCACCACTGCAACTCCTGTGTGGCCAGGTTCTACAGCTTGACCGCCATAAAAACCCAACCAATGAAGGTCAAGTTTGTCCCGGGGGAAAGTTAAACTGTCATTGGACCCGCAACAAAATTAATCAGAATAACATAGGAGGAGTTCGAAATTAAGGTTCGACTTCCCTCCATTGCAAAGCGGATGACAGGTGACAAACGAAGGTTTAAAACCTTTAAGAAAATATTATGCACCACGGACAGTAAATATCAATTAAGGGGGCCTATCTTATGTGCAATTAGCAATTATTGATGACAATGATCATGGTTTAGCTACTCCACAAAGTTTTAGGTTTTAGGATTATCTTTCTTATTACTGAATGATATCTTGCGTTTGACCTCAAAACTGAGATCTAAGATTGAGCACGCCTACTCAGTAATTCCTATTTACTCGTTGTATAACGGCATTCTTGCCTACACTCAGGTTTTACGGGCTCTAAGATACAGTGTTAGAAGAGGGTACCTAATTGTTTACGTACCTTTTTTACGTTTACGTACCTTTTTTACGTCTACGTACCTTCATCATCATCATCATCATTTCAGCCACAGGACGTCCACTGCTGAACATAGGCCTCCCCCAATGCTTTCCATGTTGATCGATTGGAAGCGGCCTGCGTCCAGCGCTTCCCTGCTACCTTTACGATGTCGTCGGTCCACCTTGTAGGTGGACGTCCCACGCTGCGTTTTCCGGTACGCGGCCTCCATTCCAGAACATTTCTGCCCCATCGGCCGTCAGTTCTGCGTACTATGTGCCCTGCCCATTGCCACTTCAGCTTGCTAATACGTCGGGCTATGTCAGCGACTTTGGTTCGTTTACGGATCTCCTCATTTCTGATTCGATCTCGCAAACGAGGCGTTAGGCAGGGAGATGTTATATCTCCGAAACTGTTCACCGCTGCATTGGAAGACGCTTTCAAACTCCTGGAATGGAAAGGATTCGGCATAAACATTAATGGCGAGTACATCACTCACCTTCGGTTTGCCGACGATATTGTGGTCATGGCAGAATCGTTGGAAGATCTTGGCACAATGCTCGAAGACCTTAATCGAGTTTCCCAACAGGTAGGCCTGAGGATGAACATGGACAAAACGAAGCTTATGTCGAATGTCCATGTTACGCCCTACCCAGTTTCAGTTGGGAGCTCAATTCTACGTACCTTAGGTAAGATTAATTTCGTTGCGGGTCCAATGACAGTTTAACTATTCCCCGGGACAAACTTGACCTTCATTGGTTAGGTTTTTGTGGCGGTCAAGCTGTAGATCCTGGCTACACAGGAGTTGCAGTGGTGGGAACAAGAGGTGGGAATAGTCCCGTTTAGGTAAGATTTACGAGTAATTTCATCCCTGAAAATCCCAAGTCATTTTATGAAACTTATTTAGTTGCCTCGAAATGTCAACCAAGGTAGCGAATAATAAATAACGACTCAGTGAAACAATGTAGACAAAGAAAGAAATATTGAGTGAGTGTGTTTGCAAAGAAGAATTTATTTCTTTTTTCTTGTGTTTATATGACTGATAGGTTATTCGCGAAAACATTTTAAGGCTGAGTTGCGCCACCTAACTTTAACCGAAACTATAACGGTAGCCGGTGTTTTTGTATGGAGTTTGACAGATTTTTGACGTTTGTTAAAGTAACTTGGTGCAATCCAGCTTAAATCTGATAAATGCATGAACACAGCTTGTACGACGTCAATGTTACACAGTCGCCTAACATAAATTTTTTTCTTGTAAGTTATACAGTGTGTCCGGGGCCCGGGCATGTAGTGATCAAACTTTAAAGGCGTAATCTATGAACAATTTTATCGATGAAAATACTTGAAATTTGGGGCTTGACCCATTTCTCGAAAAATTACATCGATTTAAGTTTTTAATTTTTAGTTTACACCTCTTCTTTAAAAAACAAGTGAAAGCGTGGGTAGCTTAACATTAATAGGCAAATATTTTATATCATGCGATAGCCAATAAAATTATCTATTAGTAGAAGAAGAAAACAGAAACAAATTTCATACATTTTATGGGAGTAAGAATGGATTGAATTAGAAAAATACATTACTTTTTTCACTTCTTTTTCAGCTATTTTCCAACACAAGAAAAACCAGGTCGTTAAAGTATGTTTTATTTGCATTGTATTATTAGTATTTGAGCTATTCTACAAAACGAATGTAAATTTATTAGTCTACGTCTATTAGTTTC